AGAGCTTGTTGGCTGCCTCATGTACCTGATGACCTGCACTCGACCTGACCTTGCATACCCTCTTAGCATTCTCGCACACTATGTTGCTCCTGGGAGACACAGACCGGAGCACATGGCTGCAGCGAAGAGGGTGTTGCGCTACTTGTGCAGTACGTCAGGCATGGGGCTTGTGCTTGGAGGGCGGAGTCCAGTGGTCCTTACTGGACACGCAGACGCTTCTTGGGCGGACGACCAGGCTACGAAGCGGTCGTCGCAGGGTTACACCTTCAGCCTTGGTTCCGGCTCTGTTTCGTGGCGGGCTACCCGCTCGTCTTCTGTTCTCGGCTCCAGTTGTGAGGCTTTGATCTACGCCGGGGCCATGGCTGCACAGGAGCTTCGCTGGCTCACCTACCTGCTGTCTGACTTTGGAGAGGTGCCTCGTTCTCCTCTAGTGCTGTACGTAGACAACACGGCCATGCTGGCCTTGTGTCGAGAGCAGAGACTGGAGCACAGAACGTAGCACATTGCTCTCCGCTACTTCCTTGCTCGTGAGCTGCAGCAGCGTGGTCAGCTGCGTCTTGCGTACGTGGCCTCTGAGGCCAACACTGCTGATGTTTTCACCAAGGCACTTGCGCCTTGTGATCATCAGCGTTTCTGTACTCAGCTTGGTCTTGTGCCTGCCTTGCCTCACTTGCTCACCTCTTGACCTTGCTTGTACTGTTACATATATATACACTTGCTCTTGCTTGTGTAGCCTTTTATATATAGATGTGTACTCCTGCATATGAACTGGCCTTGTGGCCTTGAACTTGTGCTCGGAATGTGTGGTGACTTTGTGATCCACCCTGAGCTTGCTTTGCTTTGCTTGACTGGTCTTGTGACCCCTTGTTCTCCCCCACTCAAGCAAAGCACCCAATATTGGGTCTGCCTACTCGCGCACATCAAGGAGTTGAACCCGGATTGGATTCGCGGGATCAACGCAGTGCAGAAGCAGTGGCGGAACTTGATACTATTCTGGAGGGATTACAGGCGGGGTGATGGTAGGTCGGAAAACGGCTCTGTTGTAAAGCCTCCGTGGTACCCGTAAATGGAGCTGTACAACCAAGACAATGCCGCCGCCGAACCGCATGCGGTGGACGGCGGTGGTGCCACGAATGTCGGCGTGCCGGCCGGCATGCATGTTCCGAGCTCCTCTCAGCTCGGCGTTTCTACGCTGACATTTACATGGGACGTCCACTTAATTAGAGTATGTGCGCTTTACTAATTGCCGTGTTGTTTGCCATATGAAGTTTGTTGGTACCGTGCAACATAACTTTTCATGTTTCGAGAATGTAACACACTAATGCACATGGTCTCTCTCCCCCATATCCATTCACAGCCCCGCCGGCGCCAACAAACTCTACACCTAAGCGTGCTCGAGTCCATGAAACGGCAATGATGCAAGCTGCAATGCTTGTCTCTGTGACAATCAAGGACTGTCACGGCGACGCTATGAATTGGATCAAGGGACTCGTGCGCGAATGGATGCAGTAGGATTTGCGTGTAGCCCGTGCGCGCATGTCGGAGTCCGCTCCACCGCACGTGCATCGTGGGACGGCCAACGACAGCCCTCTGCCACCACGCGCGGTGTCTGTACCTCCTCCCGATCGCCGCGCGCCGGACACGGACGTTGAAGATGCTGGCCCTGCACGCGACGCCGGTGGCGACGCCCACAACGTTACTCCAGATGATGACGATGTGGAGATATGGGTGCGCGGCGCTGACGATTGAGGTAAGACTCCTATAGAGCCTCTCCCAGTCTTTTCCGTCTTTCTTGCAAAGCTGGCTGCGTAACGGGCACGCACGGTTCCCACCTATGTTTTGCGATGGCACGTCCACCATGGATCTCAGTTTCGCGGCAAATTGAACCAAGCCAAGTTGATTCGCTTGACATCTGCAATACTCTCGCACATGTTATGTAGGATCACGCAACACGTGACGCCGACGAGAACACGCCATAGCCTGCAGTCGTTGCGCCGATGAAAAGGCGCCATCGTCCTTTGAAGGCACCGATGCACCTCTCTACAGCCATGCGGGTGGCGCTCTAGTAGTAGTTGAAACACTGGGCCCAATCGTCCATCAGATCCTCTCCGCGCGGGGCATGCAGGGGGGTTAGGCAGTAATCTCTGAGGGGGTATGCAGCGTCCCCAAGAATCTGGTACGGGGTTATGTCCCCTCGTTGTAACCTTTCCAATAGTGTACTATCTTTGAATACACGCATGTCGTGCTCGCTACTGGGATATTATTTTTTTCCCTATATTATGCAGATTGTTACGGCTCTAATTGGCATTGCAGCGAAGGCTAGCGTCCATTTTCCAACCTTGGATGGATCATGGTGTCAGAATGAACAAGTGTGTTTGCACTAAGAAAGAGTTGGGTACAAGTAGGAAACCCTCAACTTACTGTACCCCATAGTAACTACCCCACTACAGCCTAGACAAACTGTAGTAGATATAACATTTGACACATGGCAGTGTCCAAGGCCTTTGGTGGCGTGAAGGTGATTGCCTGGAACATCAAGCTCGTTGGAGCTGCGTACGTGTGCTACGTGGTGTCAGTAGATCTGCAATGTGGATGTCTGATTGATCCTGGAGAGGGTTACAGGCGCGTTCGCCTTGTGAGAAGACTAGAAAGGCTTAGGAGCCATAGCTAGTAGGTCAAGTGAGTTGAGTATCGAGCAAGTTGATAAGGAGAAAAGAAATCGAGAGAATGAGGGTTTCACTATGGAATGTTGTACAAGATATAGTGAAGGAAAAGGGTGCACCACCTAACATGAAAGCGATATAACTACACTAGGTCTACACTGCAGGAAGTTATAGTAATGCATACAATTACATTCTGACACGTCTGGGGGGTTATAGGCGCACTGACCCGCTACTGAAATAAGCCCTTTTATCCCAATGGTCTAGTGGTTGGGATTCTGACATGGTATCAGAGCGGTCTCGGGTTCGAATCCCAGTGTATGCACATGTTGGCCGTTGCCACTGTGCTCAGTCATGGGCCTCCCAGTGTGGGGGGGTGTCAGTAGATCTGCACTGTGGATGCCCGATTGATCCCGGAGAGGGTTACAGGCGCGTTCCTCTGAGGGGGTTATGGGCGCACTGACGCGCTACTGAAATAAGCCCTTTTATCCTAATGGTCTAGTGATTGGGATTCTGACACGTGGTAAGCTTTATTGTTGTTTTTACATAATTGATTTCTCAATGCGTGTCTAACATTGCTTCCTTACCACTTAATTGCAGGTTGAATGGCCCATGGCCAACGCGAAGGGAACCAAGGTTCCTACAATGTCTGGAAACGAGCTGCTCAACAATCAGAACATGGAAAGGAAGACTCAATAAATTATTTCGTGGCTGAAGGAGTGGTACAATCGTGACCCAAGTGTCTGGAATCCAAGCCACTCAGCTGGATTATAAATGTGCAAGGCAGTAAAAATTGAGATTGAAAGGTTTGAAGGGCAGGTTTTCCCATATGGTGTTCCGGCCTAATAGTTTTGTAGTTCTTGTCTTGTATGTGTAATGCAAGCTTACAATTCTAATTGAATGACTCCATAAAATAGCACGTTTAATTAATTTAATATGTATATATTAAATAAAATGAACTAGATTGTATTTACTATTTATGTCTTCTTAAATAAATGCGTGTACTGACGGACATAAATCTGAAGTGTATATTATCAAAAGTATATCGTAATCGCATACCGTCACATTATTAACAATCACAAAAGCAGTTGACATTTGATGGTGTATAGATCGTCGGTTTGTTGAAGGGTTGGGTGTCGATGTAACAGAACACTCGACTGGTAAAAATTCAACCATCGATTGGATGAACCAACCAGCCCTGGCAAGATTTCCCCATTCACGAGGGGACGAGAAACAATTCAAGTCCGATTCAAGTGGCAGTTGCTCACCGACAGTCCACACGAATGACAATCGCCATTTACAGACTTCAATCAGTACTACCGTTTCCAGCCTTAAAGATCCAAACCCTCGATCGTCAATGGTCAGCTCAAGCAATTTCGAGATCAAACCATTCACTGCCCTAATTCAGAAGTTCACGCCCTTACCCAGGACCCGAAAATTTCCGATGTCCCATGGCTCTGCGCTGCACCTTAAAGCCCGCGTCCCAAATTGCGGGCCGCGAGGGTCAAGTTTTTAAAACTTGACGAAGTTGAGTGTCCAAGCTTTTGAAAGTCACGCACTTGCAATTTGGGACTTTCGAAGACAGATTCACTCACCAGGGGGAAAACCGAGGGTTGGCTGGGTCTCGCGAAAAAAACGAATCTAGACGAAATCGGAAACTCTCGCCAAAGCCTACACCAAAAAAACTGCCTCAAGTCAACTTTTAAAAGCATGAACAATTTGGGCCGCCGGCTTTAACTCGTCACGATCGACAGAATACTCCCACTACCACTCCCTCCCCTCAGACATATTGTCATGCTTTCCCTTTGCTGCTCGGGTGGGCCCGCTTTCTCACACTCGGCTTGCCCGCTTTCTCACACTTGGTTTACCCGCTTTCTCACACTCAGCTTGCCCGCTTCTCGCACTTGACGGGCCCGCTTTCTCACACTCGGGGGGGTCGCTTTCTCACACTCGAGGGGGTCGCTGTTTTCACACTTGGGGTGGTCGCTTTCTCACACTTGGGGGGGTCACTTTCTCACACTCGTGGGGGTCGCTTTCTCACAAGTGGGGGGGTCGCTTTCTCACACTCGGGGGGGTCACTTTCTCACACTCGGGGGGGGGGTCGCTTTCTCACACTCGGGGGGGTCTCTTTCTCACACTCGAGGGGCCTGCCGAAGTCCAAGCGGGCCCGTCGTTTCGCACCCTCTCTTCCCTTCCGTTCCCTTCCCTTCGCATCTCATCCCATTTTCTCAATTCCATTCCCCCTTTCAACTGCCCTTCCCTTCCCATATTTCAATTGCATTTAAGACTAGTTAATTATCCTACCGGTAAGTCCTGTTCAGTAGATACATTCCAATGCTGATGACATTAGCACTCATTGTTAACCATCCTCATCACATCATTGCATTAGGTACAAGGCTGATCGCCTCATTGGCTAACTGCCCTTCCCGTTCTTCCCTCCTACATTCCTACTGAGCTGTGAAGCCCTCGGTACACCATGCCATGCCCCTCATTCTCAACGTAACCCACTTTCTCCTCCCACATCCACCCCGTCTTGCTCCGCCCTGCCTTCATCTCGTGCTACCTCATCCGCCCCATTCCCCTTGACCTCCTCAGCTGTGCCACCCTCTGTTCTCTCCTCCCCTGCACTCGCTCAAATCCATCCTCCCACTGCTCCACCAGCCGCTATCGCTCCTCATCCTGAGGTGCCAAAGGGGTCAGTCAGGCAGGGGATGTGAAAAAAATGTAAAATAATTTCTCGTTTTCAATTCTGCACCATTCGCACTCTTCAATTGTCCTGTAATGCACCCAACAGCCTATCTCGTACCCTTCGATCATGCCATGGTAGGCCCATCTATTCACATACTTCAAAAGAATCTGGGTGACAAACGTCTCCCTGGTCTCGCACCCTCTCGCTCCACGCATCTCCAGGTTTGATTTCCTGCCCTGCTACCTTTAATCCACCCACGTTGCTGGATTTTGTCCTGCAGGCACCAAGGAAGCAATCCACAGAGAAGATATTGGGGAAGACAAACAAGGCCAAGGATCACGAGTAGAACACAAGAGAAGTGGGGACCAATAAAAGGGGGAAAATGTGTTGAGAGACGAAAGGTGGTTCCCGCAAGTGGGAGAAGATATGAGAGATAAGAATTTATTGCATCAACTCACTTCAAACATAAATGGTATAACAGGCGTTGGGCAATTCATGTAGTTTAGACGACGTTCTGATATGTGGTTCATCCTTGCTGGGGGGGGCATAATCAACTCAAGCAGTGCTCTGCCTGCATCAATAAGAAACTGAAGTCCAGGATAACAAAACTTGCTTCTTTGGATAAATGAAAAGCTGCCATAGTACAAGCAAAAGAAGTTACCCAGCAGGCATTTCCAAGCATACCTGAATCGGATCGGAAAATTCGACAAGCGATCATCAATCTGATAACCAGGCTTGAAACACAATGTCCTTCCCTGAGGCCACATCAGCACTACAGCATGCAACCCTTCTTTGCTCTCGCTCATTGCAGCACGCAACCCTTTTTTCCTCTCGCTCGTTGCAGCACGCAACCCTTCTGTCCTCTCGCTCGTCGCAGCACGCAACCCTTCTTTGCTCTCGCTCGTCGTAGCACGCAACCCTTCTTTGCTCTTGCTCCTCGCAGCATGCAACCCTTCTTTGCTCTCCCTCGTTGCAGCACGCAACCCTTTTTTGCTCTCCCTTGTCGCAGCACGCAACCCTTTTTTGCTCTCCTTCGTCGCAGCACGCAACCCTTCTTTGCTCTCCCTCGTCGCAGCACGCAACCCTTCTTTGATCTCGCTCGTCGTAGCACGCAACCCTTCTTTGCTCTCCCTCGTCGCAGCACGCAACCCTTCTTTGCTCTCCCTCGTCGCAGCACGCAACCCTTCATTGCTCTCCCTCGTCACAGCACGCAACCCTTCTTTGCTCTCCCTTATCGCAGCACGCAACCTTTCTTTGCTCTCCCTCGTCGCAGCACGCAACCCTTCTTTGCTCTCCCTTGTCGCAACACGCAACCCTTCTTTGCTCTCCCTCGTCGTAGCACGCAATCCTTCTTTCCTCTCCCTCGTCGCAGCACGCAATCCTTCTTTGCTCTCCCTCGTCGCAGCACGCAATCCTTCTTTGCTCTCCCTCGTCGCAGCACGCAACCCTCCTTTGCTCTCCCTTGTTGCAGCACGCAACCCTTCTTTGCTCTCCCTCGTTGCAGCACGCAACCCTTCTTTGCTTTCCCTTGTTGCAGCATGCAACCCTTCTTTGCTCTCCCTCGTTGCAGCACGCAACCCTTCTTTGCTCTCGCTCGTTGCAGCACGCAACCCTTCTTTGCTCTACCTCGCTGCAGCATGCAACCCTTCATTGCTCTCGCTCGCTGTAGCACGCAACCCTTATTTGCTCTTGCTCGTTGCAGCACGCAACCCTTCTTTGCTCTCGCTCATTGCAGCACGCAACCCTTCTTTGCTCTCGCTCGTTGCAGCACGCAACCCTTCTTTGCTCTCGCTCGTTGCAGCACGCAACCCTTCTTTGCTCTTGCTTGTTGCAGCACGCAACCCTTCTTTGCTCTCGCTCATTGCAGCACACAACCCATCCACCTCGTGCCTCAGCTCCTGCCGCAATGCATGCGCCACTACCTCCATTTTCTCCGCCCATCTGCTCACTGCATCGTTTTGAGGCACCTCAAAACTACACTGGCTTCATTTTCTCTGTCCATCTGCTCCCTGCATCGTCCAATTCCTGCCTCCACTCCTGCCCCACTTCTTGCTATGTCTCTGCCGTACTCCCAACCAGTCCCTGCACTCCATTTGACCTTGCCGCGTCCCATGCCTCATTCTCCTCTGCCACCAGCCTCAACCATGCAGCCAACTCCTCCTTCAGCTGCTCCTGCTGCTGCCACAACTTGTGGAGCTCTTGCTGCACCCTTCTGTAACTCCAGATACCGCAGACTGCGTTCCAGGCACAAAGAGGGATGGCTTGATGTGCTGCATATGTAAGGCGGGAGCAAGACACTACCTGCAGAAAAAAAGACAGAGGCGGGGGCTGTTGGTGCGTGATTCAAAGATCAGTGATGGTTACTGTATAATCACTCACTCCATGTTCCAGCTCGTTAACAGAGCAGTGGCAGAACAACGTTGACCAGCTCACTAATGAGATATGAAAATGCAAGTGGAATAATGGAGCAGAGAGGGCACAGCTGGAACCAGGATGAGGTCATGGAGATGGGGTTGAGGATGGAAGGTCACAGTATACAGTGTGTGCATCACATGTTGTGCTTCGCTGTCTCAACCTACTTGTGCAGAATCAAAGAAATTCGCACCAGAATTGACATACTAGCAGCCTTAATCCTCTAAATCTCAGTCCTCAGCTATTGAAGCAGCTTCTTGGCAGCCAGCAAGGTGCAGTGGATGCGAGTGATGAGGCGGGATAAGGAGATGCCCATGCACCAGAGGATTAGCGTGAACGTGGTACACAGCATGTATGCGTGAATCAACTGACACAAGATTGTTTTTGAGGCGCCTCAAAAGATGAGCGCGAACGTGGTACACAGCATGTATGCGTGAGTCAACTAACACAAGATTGCTTTTGAGGCGCCTCAAAAGATGAGCGCAAACGTGGTACACTGCATGCAAGCGTGAATCAACTGACACAAGATTGCTTTTGAGGCGCCTCAAAAGATGAGCACGAATGTGGTACACAACATGCATGCGTGAATCAACTAACACAAGATTGGAAGGGAGGGGGGTTGGAGGGGGGTTGGAGGGGAGGAGGGGAAGTTTGACGAAGGGTGGAGGATTGTAAATAGTCACAGAATAGTCAAGGCAGATTGGAGGGCAAAGCTGAAAGGAAGCGAGGGAATACGGTAGCAATATGAGGCAAATAGGCCTAAGGAGATAAAAGAGAGGGCGGATGGCAGGAGAGCAGTAAAAGTGGCTATGATAGTGAAAAGATTACGTTACAGAAATGACACCTGGTCTGTATCACCGTATTTCCAGTTCCAAATATTTCTCTCCCTTACCATCAGGTACGCCTTGGCAGCAGCAGCATCCTTTCCCAGCTCCACCATTGCACCACCCACCGCAAAGGCGTTGCGCTCCGAGTCGCCCATGCCAGCAGCAGCCAAAGCCTCGCCAACAGCCATAAGACGTTTCATTATACTCACGCTCTTTACGGTCTAGTCACCCCCTTTTCACTCATGCCTCACTGATAGAGGAATCTGTGGTAGCAATTTGACAATCGGGTTCCCGAAAATGTTGGAAGCGGGAAAATAGCTGAGAATTTGTTCGTGAAAGCCAAGCGGTTGAGCGGACAAGATACAGATTTATGAGATCCATGAAGAAATCAACTCCATGAGTGCACCACGAGCATGGGCGGAGCGAGCATGAGCGGAGCGAGCATAAGCGGAGCGAGCATGAGCGGAGCGAGCAAGAGCGGAACGGAGCTAGCATGAGGGGAACGAGGATGAGCACAGCGAGCATGCGCGGAACTGAGCGAGGATGAGCGGAATGAGCACGAGCGGAATGAGCATGAGCATAACGAGGATGAGCGGAATGAGGACGGGCGGAACAAGCATGAGCAGAACGAGCATGAGCGGAACGAGCATGAGCGGAACGAGCATAACGAACAACTCGGCACCGCGCGAGCTGTAACTTGACCATTGCATCATGATGTCGTCAGATGTGTCGACTCGGCGAGTCTACCTGATGCGGCAGGGAGGCTCTGGCCAGCGGTACGAGAGGCAATGCTATGCCATGACCCAAGGCACTCACAAAGAAGCCAGGAGTAGACGGCCGCCATCGGAAAAAACCGAGTGTGTTGGGGTGGGTTGGGGAAGTTTGGGTTAATTGTGATGCCTCTCCTTCAGTTTCCCGTCCACCTCGTACATAGTAGATGGGTTGTTCCCAAATAGACTGTGGATCGTACCTGCTGTGGATCAGGGGATTGCGTCTGATTACACGCGTCACTGTAGAGTCTAGTTCAGCACGTTCGAACTCGGTTGCAGCCGTGTTGTCAATCGCAGTCAACACTGAATATGAGCGGGAGTTGGCGTGGATCATCATGACTGCGTACACGTGTAATCTGTAGGGGTCGTTTGTATCGCTGTGTGGCGATTTAGAGTGCAGCTTTGTCCATCCGAGTCGCTTTGGCGAGTCGATGACGAAGGGGCTACTTTGTCTAACGAATTGTTAATAAGAGCTAGAATCGAAGTAACATTCCGTTACTGTTCGCATGCCCTGTGATTGTAGTCGGGTTTATATATGAGAACATTGTGGTACAGTGACTGTACTGTATTCAACATCCATAATCTTAAAAAATATTAGATAGTGTGTTTTTGATAAATCGATTCAATAGCTACGATTGTTCATATTAAGTATACGGCTCCAGAGCATTTGACAACACGTTATTTCAGAGATGCATTATCATTGAAGATTAGCATTGTAACCCTAGCAGTCATGTAATAACCACTCCAACCTCATGCTAAATAAAATACTCTTAGCATCCAATTTCCTAGGGTAATCCTGCAGGGAACACCTGAGACTCATAACCCTCAATCAATAGCTTCACGTTGGGGGACAACCTGAAGCCAGCAGGAGCAACCGGGTCCCAGATCGCGGTGTCTCCGTTCTCGTATGTCTCCCTAATCCAGGTGACCAGGTGCCCGATCTTCACCTCGACGTTCTGCTGGTTCACGGTCTCGGAACCGTCAAGTGCAGGGTTCACTCGCCCTCTGGCATTTGCCAGAGGCCATTCCACCTGCATCAAGAAAAGCAACCAAAATGAGTCTTCACGGACTGGCGGTTATGACCTTAAACCCTCCCCTGGAATAGCGACTCACTCACCACATTCAAGGCGTAGCCAACTGGAGGGAACTTCACCATGATCGTTGTCGCCTTTTTGCTCCCAAAACCGCGCAGCAGGACGAGTTTGAATGCCCGGTTGGCAAACGGCCTACACGTTGCAGTGTTGAAGTGCCAGTTGGAACCAAAGTGTGCTGTTAAAACAAACAGGAAACGATGAATACAAACAATACACGTTGCTGCAAAATACAAAACCATGGCATTAACAGAGGCCTTAACAAACAGACGACGACACACGTACCATGAAGGTAGAACACGGTCCACTCCGAAGGGGACCTGCTGCACTGCGGCGCCACTCCTTCGTCCGCCAACTCCTTCCATTTACTCTCTGGGACGCACCCGCCCGGGCCGCGCCCGTAAGTCTTGATGTCGCCGTTGTAATTGCTCCGCCGCTCTGACGCCTTGCGCATGGCCAGGTTTTCCTTTCCAGGGAACATGCAGATGACATAGTAGAATATGTCCTTCCCCACGCCAGCTTCCGCGTACTTCTCTGCCATCATTTCTCTCAGCTCGGGCCACAGAGGGTAGAACTTCATCCTCCATGCAGGCGCGGCGGTCGTCATGAACGTGAAAGCCTCAAACGCCTTTTTCTGCTGTCAGGGCATTCCGGGTGATAGTGTTAATAAAAGAAAGACAGGGAGATGCGATTGGTTAAACATTATCAAACAATTATAGGAAGTATATCCTATCTCAAAACAGAACCGCGAACAAACTCACTGAAAACAAATGGTCTTGTTCAAGTGTTGTAGGGACCAAGATGTTGCCGTTCTGGTCACGTGGTAACTGCTGCAATTCGAAAGACGGGATCAGCGCAAAGTTCAGGGTTTGCCTTTGCTCCTCGCCGTTGTTGATGATTTGCTGCCGAAGTGCAACGACCAGAGCGGACAACTCGTCGTAGCGCAGATTGAGCACTACGTATGCAGCCTCCTTATCGTCCAGGGCGGTTTGGAGGTCGAGTGTGTGGAAATCGAAACAAGAATGAATGAACTATGAATGAAGTCGGTACAAGTACTAACCCTAATTGGGTTGTACCCCCTATGGGATACCCCACTACAGCCTACACAAAAGTATAAGCTATAATGTTCTGACACACCCCCATAGGCAAAGTGGGGTAGAACAAAGGGGTCACAAGACTGGTCAAGCAAAGCAAAGCAGAGCAAGCTTAGGGTGGATCACAACGTCACCATACATTCTGAGCACAAGTTCAAGGCCACAAGGCCAGTTCACATGCAGGAGTACATATATATATAAGGCTAGACAAGCAAGAGCAGATATATATATATATACATATATGTAACAGTACAAACAAGGTCAAGGGGTGAGCAAGTGAGGCAAGACAGGGACAAGGCCCAGCTGAGTGCAGAAGCGCTGATGATCACAAGGCGGAAGTGCCTTGGTGAAAACATCAGCAATGTTGGCCTCAGAGGCCACGTACGCAAGCCCCAACTGACCATGCTGCTGTAGCTCACGAGCAAGGAAGTAGTGAAGAGCAATGTGCTTTGTTCTGTGCTCCAGTCTCTGCTCTCGGCACAAGGCCAGCATGGCCTTGTTGTCTACGTATAGGACTGGAGGAGAACAAGGCGGCTCTCCAAGGTCGGTCAGTAGGTAGGTGAGCCAGCGAAGCTCCTGAGCAGCCATGGCCCCGGCGTAGATCTCAGCCTCACAACTGGAGCCGAGAACAGAAGACGAGCGAGTAGCCCACCACGAAACAGAGCCGGAACCAAGGCTGAAGGTGTAACCCTGTGACGACCACTTCGTAGCCTGGTCGTCAGCCCAAGAAGCGTCCGCGTGCCCTGTGAGGACCACTGGACTCCGCCCTCCAAGCACTAGCCCCATGCCTGACGTACTGCACAAGTAGCGCAACACCCTCTTCGCTGCAGCCATGTGCTCTGGTCGGTGTCTCCCAGGAGAAACATAGCATGCAAGAATGCTAAGAGGGTATGCAAGGTCAGGTCGTGTGCAGGTCATCAGGTACATGAGGCAGCCAACGAGCTCTGGATACGGGCCACTCGACTCTACGGACTCATCCGAAGGAAGAGCTGAGAGTGAGTGGCAAGTAGGCAGAGGAGTGGCCTGAGGCGAGGAGTACGTGAAGCCGAAGCGCTGAAGGACCTGCTGCACCATGAGTCAGGGTAATGGTACAGCGTGCTCTGTCCCGGGTGATCTGCAAGCCAAGGTAGCTGCGCAGTTCACCCAGGTCAGTGCACGTGTGTCTCTTCTGCAGCTCGGACTTCACGTAGGCGAGTCCAGCAGTGTCAGCTGTGGCAAAGACCAAGTCGTCGACGTACACGAAGATGTAGAACGGCGGAAGAGAGGTGTCGGTGCGCAGAAACAGCGACGGGTCGGCAATAGAAGGAGCAACCCCAAGAGCCGCAAGCGTAGTCCTCAGTGTGTCGTGCCACTCACGTGGCGCCTGGCGGAGACCGTAGACTGGACGCCGGAGACTCCACTGGGTACCAGGAGGGAAAGACTCAGTGAAGCCAGGTGGGCGGCGCAGCCAGATCTCCTCGTGTAGGCTGCCCTGCAAGAAAGCTGTGCTGAAGTCGAGAGAGTGCAGCTCGTAGTCACGGGGAGCAACAACGTGCAGCAGTACCCGAAGAGTTGTCATCTTCGGGGTGGGAGAGAAGGTCTGAAAGTAGTCAACTCCCTGCCGCTGACTGAAGCCACGAGCCACGTAACGCGCCTTGAAGACAGGCGGAGAACCCAGCAGCCGCTTCACCCTGAAGATCCACATGCCACTGACGATGTTGGCCCCATGAGGGGGAACAGCGTCAACGTAGGTGCTTGTGGACTTCCAGGAAGCCATCTCTGTGTCCATAGCTCTCTACCAGTGAGAGGAGTAGGGACCCTCTATCGCCTCCGCGTAAGAGCGCGGAGTCGGGATGTTAAGTGCATCCGGGTCTCCCTCAGGGGTAAGCAGTACGGACACGAAATGAGGTGAAGCAGCTGCCAGACATGGGAACTCCTCCTGCTTGTCCTCAAGGACGTCCGTGCCAAGAGCACACTCACCCCCGACGGACGGAGGACAGATAGACTCAGACTCATCGACAAGACTAGCAGCGTAGTCTAGGCGACAGCGAGCAGCAAAGTCGATGAGCTCACCAACTAGGGCAGACGCAGCAGTGGACTCGAAAGAAGGGTCTGTGACGATAGTAGCAAGGAGACGCGTGACAGTAGGACTGGTAGCACGAAGAGAGTCCGACTCCGGGTCGGCGAGAGCAGGAAGAGAGGACTTAAGAGGAGAAGGCAAAGGGGCACGCAGAGGAGTAGTAGACGGATGCAGAGACATCCTGTGCGTGCCAGGGACAGGAGGAGGACGCGGACGCGAACCACGACCACTAGCGCGAGCAGGACGGACAGGCGACGTAGGGCGAGACGCACGCTCACGACGCTCAGCAAGACCTCTAGTAGGACCAGCGTAGGGAGAAGGAGCAGGCAAAGGGGAGGTAGGCTGCAACTGTAACTGTGACAGGACAGGCTATGGACACTCTAAGAGAGGAGGAGGACCAGTACAAGGTGGAAGACCAAGAACCTACTGCAGGATCGGAACGAAGTACGGTCGAGGCCGCGTGGTGACGCCAGAAGCAGCAGGGATAGCACCAGTACCCCCAGCAGGAGCACTAGCTCCAGTAGCAACTCGAGCAGCGCCGGAACCTCCAGCAGCACCAGGAGTACCCACAGCAGGACCGCCAGCAGTAGTCTCAGCTCCAACAACCTCAGCAGCACCAGCTCCAGTCGCACCCGCAGGCCCAGCCGCTCCAGTACTCCCAGTACGAGCACCTCCGGGACCCGCAACAACAGCACCCTCAGTAGCCGAAGAACCTCCAGCACCAGCAGAACGCCTCTAACGCCGGGCAAACCACTCGCGCAGCTCTTTTGGAGGGAGTGGCTCCCGCAGAGATGAAGCACCCGGAGAACCTCTAGGCGGAGCACCTCCTGGCTCTGCACCCCTAGGCGTAGCACCCCCAGACTCAGCACCCCCAGGCTCAGCACCCCCAGGCTCAGCACCCTCAGGCCTAGCACCCCCAGGCGTAGCACCCCCAAACTCAGCACCCCCAGGCTCAGTACCCCAAGGCTCAGCACCCCTAGGCGTAGTACTCCCAGGCTCAGCACCCCCAGCCTCAGCACCCTTAGGCTCCGCACCCCCAGGCCCAGCACCCCCACGCTCAGAACCTCCAGCAGCACCAGAGTCACCAGTGACCTCAACACGCTCGACTGCGTCTACCTGGGACACATCTGAAGGGGCAGGACCCTGAGGGGGGAGGGGGTCTACCTGGGGGGGACCTGGTACAAGGAAGAGCGGGGGCGGGGGGAGGGACGGAGTGCGGTAGGGGTAGAGGCGGCAGTAGGGGACCGACTCGTCGAACGTGACGTCCTGGGAGGACAGAACATGGCGAGAGGTGGGGTGGTAGAACTGCCACCCAGGCGCATCAGGGAGGAACCCCAGGAAGACGCCAGGAGCAGCACGAGGGGACAGCTTGTCCGCAGACAAGTCGCGGACAAACGCCCGAGATCCCCAAACCCGGAACGCCGACGCATCACCAACCTTCCCCGTCCACACCAAGGCTGGGGAGGTCTCCGGCCAGGAGACCCTGGGCTGAAGGTTGATCTGATGCGCTGCGTACCTCACCGCAAACGGCCACAGAAAATGGGGGGCAGCCGCATGCATCATCGACGTACGGGCGACGTCCATGACCATGCCAATGCGGCGCTCAGCAATCCCATTTTGCTGCGGAGAGTTCGGAAGCGTAAAGGTTTGACGGATACCTCGTGCATGACAGTAGGCTCGTAGAAGGCGAGAGGAGAACTCTCCGCCTCTGTCCAAGTGTAGACGCAGAAGAGGAAAGTCCGAGCCAAAGCTCTGCCTGAGCTGGAGACGAGCTGCGCGGATCCAGTCGATCAGCACCTCAGTGACATCACCCTTGCTGCGCAAGGGGAAGACTGCGGTGTAACGCGAGTAGTCGTCAACAACGAGCAGGAAGTAGCGCTCGTGACCCTGTCCACGGACGCGGGCTGGGCCCCACACGTCCATGTAAAGCGTCTGCAACGAGGCCTCTGTCGGAGGAAACTGGGAGGAGTGAGGGGCAGCACGCTGGCGCCCCTCGACACAGGGGACAAGAGTAGGGCCAGGGCCCTGAGGAGGGGGAAGAAGGGACCGGGGGAGACCAGACACAAGAAGACGGGAGTCCATGCCTCTGAGCCAAAGCAGAAAGGGGTGACCAAGGCGGTGGTGCCAGAGGAGAGTCTCGTGAGACAGGAGACGACACGAACACGGGGCAGAGTCAGGACCAGACCTGGACGCTGCAGCCAACACCTGGCCAGACGCAGCGACCCTACCAGACTCAGCAACGGAAGGTGACGCAGTGGTCAGTGTGTACAGGCTCGACCCCGGCTGACGGGTAAACGTAGCCAGGTGTCGGCCTGTGCTCGCCTCTGTGCAGTGCGTCACCTGCTGACGCGCAGGAGTGAACTGGTGTACTCCCGCATCCTGTAGGTCAGCACCACTCACCAAGTTCGTAGAGAACGAGGGGAGGTAGAGACCAGAGCCGCCGGACACGGGAGG